CACTGGATGGATGGAAACAATGAGGGTAGATTGGCCGTCTATGCTAATGGTTACCGTAGTGTTCATGATAATGAGTATTTCTTTCATGGCAGGAGTAGTGTTTGTGCGAAGAAGTTGTGCGTTATGTGCCATATGGGTTGTTAATAACGCATGAATTATGAACGGGCATGATATTACAATGATAGTAGTCTGCAGCTATTGGGCCATGTCGAGGGAATTATAAGCTGTGTACTGGGGTAACTGGTTTTGGTGCTTGTGAAGTTTTTTTGTTACAAGCCTATCTGTTTGGATTCTTTCATCCCCCCATCCTTTTCGAAACACCTTGCTACCTCTGAGCTTGGAGTACGCATATGGTTTGCGGAAAAGCATAATCGTTGCATAAACCCCATTTTTCTAAAGCATACTGTGATCTAGACACCGGTGCTGGAATCTTACCATGTGTATGAGTTGTTTAGTGCGAAGGTGTAGCAATCTGTTCGAGCGTTGGGTGACCACGTATGCATACCCTGTTACGCTGCTCGCCGCGGTTGCGGGGTGATGTTTCTCTCAACACACACACACACACACACACACACACACACACACACACACACACACACACACACACACATGATATTGTCTGCTGGATAGAAGAAGAGCACCATGTTGTCTGCCCAGAGGATGACAGTACTGGTCCTGGAGTGAACACAAAAGTCTTGTCTATGGCATTTATGGGTAGAAGATTACAACTGCAGCCTGCTCCCCAGAACCACATGCCAGACATGAACTCAAATATTTGCTCGTACATCCTGTATCGACCAGGACATTTCAGCGTTGTGACCTATGCAGACAATTCATGGGCCTTATGGGACAATGGAGGTAGGGTGCACACGATAAGAAGCATTAACTTCTTCTATAACCAAGTAGCAAATACTCACTCAATTTGGATTGCCCTTCAGGAACAATATGTTACTTCGCACCCGAAAGCACTCCAGTCTCTGGAGAACAATCCGGATGTGCAATTACCTCCTTCCCCTGCACATGGCCAAGCAGTGCCCCCTCCCTGTCTAGATCATGCAGATTCTGCTCCAGACAATGAAAGAACCTCCTTAGAAGATGTTGGCTGTGACCTTCCATTTTGTGGCCACACAGCTACAGTTCGGTTAGCATGCACAGTGCATAGTCTCTACTCTGAACACTATGAAGGGATGGTCACTGCCAGCCTCTGTTGCGAAAACTGCGACTCTTTGTCTTGTGTTCATCCCCCCCCCCCCCCCCTAATCGCCTGCCCAATATGTCGTTGTGGCCTTAATCTGCCATAGTTGTGAACGTCAACCTGCCTTCGTGCTGACATGTCAGCAACATGCCTTGTGTCATCAATGTTTTCAGGAAGGTGTCATAGAAAGCATGTGCTTATCCACGATGCCATCATCCACCACATCCTCTCATAGCATGCCCCGCATGCACAGTTGGGCATACGATTACTTCAAACGCCATCGGATCTCCTTCTTTCTTGCCTGACGAACAGCAAACTCAACAGCCTGAGCAGGAAAATAAAGAAACACATGAGCCGCTTATAGAGCACTGTGGTGAAGGGATAACACCGCCAGGACGAACTGTTGCAGAACAAATTCTGCAGCAGCTAGACACCCTTGTTTTGGATGGCCCCCTCTTGCCACAGTTGTCGTGGGTCCATAGAGAAGGAATCAATGCAGAGGAAACCCAAAACAATTGCTCAATGCTGTTCTGTGATGATCCACCTGAGATTCGGCCAGCATGTGGGCTGCATGCATTGTGTCATGAGGATTATGAAGACACAACCCGTGCATCTTTCTGTTTTCATACGTTTGATGACAGTCAATATTCAACTTACGTCCGGCACCCTGACATGTCATGTCCAATTTGTAGACAGGGGCTCAAACAGCAATGCCTCTACAATTGCGGCCGGTGTGCCCGTGTTCCTTGCCTGTTGGAGCCATGTTGCCTGAGATATCTGTCAACGTCGTGCCATTCCGTGCAGCAACTGCAACTGCGAGAATTGGATGCGATGCTCCCACAGTCCACACCCAAATCGGTGCTGTCCGGTTTGCAGGAATGGTCACCTACCATAGGCAACAGCTACCATAAGCAACAGCTACTCCCCATCCTGCAACCCGAGCACTGATTGACATCTCGTGTCATTCTACAGTCGTCTGCTCCAACGGTCTGTATAGAGAATCCTCTCTCTCTCTCTCTCTCTCTCTCTCTCTCTCTCTCTCTCTCTCTCTCTCTCTC